CCTTACAATTCAAGGTGATCGATCGTCGAGGGCTCTGGGGTTCCAGACACTTCGATTTTGAAAACACAGGGCCAATTTCTTCAGATGGAGTATGGCGTGTTGCGCGCTGCCTGTCGTACGGCAATGCACGGAAAATATTCTATGTGAATCAGTCTCTCGATTAGAGCGGCGAGACTCATGTGATTTGAAGAGGAGGCTATACTTCATGGCGAGTGTTATCGGTTTTCGTCTCTTTAGCATTCGAACCTGAACGGCCAACTAGAACAACTGGTCTCCTCCGTGAGCGGCGTCGCTTGGGCATTTTATAGTCGTCTTGTCACATGCCCGCGCAATACCTCTATGCTGCTGGGGATTTTCAGGTCCAATCGTTTATTTTTAATCTCCCGTTTCAAGGCAGCCATCTCCTTCAGAGGCCCAAAGGTATGGGGAACTTGAGCCACTATTCGGTGAAGATTTCCAGAGTGCTCAGTTACCTGATTTTGAAGAGAAAAAAGTTTCGGGTACCTCCAATGAACGAAGTACGTGTTTTGTCTTCCCTCTCCCATGGTGAATAGGGGGTTTCAGCTGCCAAGGTGGACGGGACGAAAAGTTTAGAAAGATTAGTTTCTCGATAATAAACAACTTGCCAATCAAATTCGAAAACAATTTTTACTCATTGATTGACACAGGTGTTTAAATGAAGGCTTAGTCCTTATCGCACGCTGTTTACAACCCCCGTAAACCGCCATGAGGCTTGTGACGTATTCACGCATGGAACCAAAGCCCGGATGTTCACGGTATCAAAACCCATGTTGTTCACTGCTAACCTTAAGGACAAAAGGCTCAATAAGTGTGAAAGGTGAACAAGCCGTGGTTCTTCTCGCCGGTGAGCCTCTCTGGAATGCGCCGTGCTTTCAAATGTCGCTTCGAATCTTCAGATAATTCACACTGAATTTCTATTTAAGCTACAATGGCTCGGTCTGGAGCCAATTGACACCCAAGGAGTAGATCTCACTTCTTGCAGGTTCCTCTTAAGCTTAAAGAGCACATCATTCTGAAGAAGAGAATTGAAAAATGCCACCCACTCCACCCCCCTCCCTACGCAGGTACTTTGAGTGGTTATGCAGAACCACGATCAACTATAGTGCAGTCGGGTACAGTACTACTGTAACAGTCTTGGCTGTGGGATAGCGGAAGTGATATGCGCTCTAATGCCATGATATGTCCTCACTAGGCGATACACTGCCTTCCAAAAGACTAACGTAGGTCTCCCTTCTCCTGTACGACTCAATCCTAAGGTCCCTCCTCACCTGCTCACAGATAACCCAGCGCTAGCGATGCTTCGCTCACAGAGCACCAAGCGCCAGGGGTACTTCGCTCGTAGTTCAATCATTGTCAGTGGGGGCGGTCTAGGACATCCACGTTGCAGCGACGCGGCAGTGCACATAGCGTTACGCGGGCGGCACTCCAGGACCTAATTTTTTCCACCAAGTTTCATGATTTGGCGCTGCGGACGAAGGGGTATCTCCGCGCGGCTGCGTTTCAACACGGTTTTTCCTTTCTTTCGGCAAGCGACAGGACTGCATCATACTGTTCGTAGCAGTCGTTTTTTCCACCTTTTGTCTCATATCCGCTTTAAAGGAACGGTCCGCGATGACCTATGAAAATGCAAAAGGTTGTGTGGGAGGTTAGCGCGGTCCGCGGTGGACAACCTTGTGCCAGTTTTGCGGCGGAAAGTTGTAAGGTAAAGGAGTTATGACGCAAAGTTGCCTCAGTGACACCTCCCTTTTTCCAGTGACTCCGCCTCCAGACTCCGCCTTCAAAGCCCGCCTTCCAGCCAAAAGCGATGCTACCGCACAAGTAGCATGAAGGGAAATGCTCCATAGTCTCTTGCGGAGTCATAGGGCCTATTAGGAAGAATGAACCGACTGGATGCGATTCAACACGCGGTCTTTCAGCCTTTTACCCTTCAACTTCCTGGGACTGGAGTGGTCTATTAGGGGCGTTTCCGACGTTCCCTTTGGCATTTTCTCTTTACAGACGAGTCACTTGACAAGTTGTCTTCCTTATTTCAACACCACTAAATAAGCTCCTCATCGCGGACCGTGCTTTAACACTGGTGGGAAATGTATTAGGCGGCGTGCCGAACTCAGCCGCGCGGACACGCCCCATCATCCGCAGCGAATCAGGCTGTAATGAATGAAAGTGCAAGTGCTATGTAATGCAGAGTCAACAGGCCAGAAATTACTAGCTAGTCTGTGCGCATAACCACAACGCGGATGCCTCGACGAACACCTAAATAGCCTGTACTTTAAGTTCTCCTCGACAAGTTCCATTTCACCTGAACCTTCAAAACACCATTAATATTGCATGAGCAACTGCTCTCACGTTTACAGTTTAACGATTCAACAGCTGTCTCATTGCCTTGTTAACTCTTTATTAGTTTGGGATATTTTTCTGTGTTCTTACACTAGCACTTAGTATATCTTCAAGTGTTTTCTGGGTAGGAAAGTAAATCTTTCAAGTGTTTCTGTGTAGGAAAAAAGGTCTAGAAGGACTAGTTGAAGTGGTAATAACTAGTCAAGAAAGTATGTATGGAACAAACGATGAGACTCGAAGGTAAGTGCAAATGGCTGCTGAACTATCATAATGTCGTATCATACACACACGCACATAGTTTCAAGGTCAACTTCCATCTATGTACAGACAGGCACATTCCTACGGGTCACTCAATCGCGTCACAATTTGAGCGCTAACAGTGTGTAATGCCAATAGTGGTATGTTGAGGCACGACGATGATGAGGCGAATGTGAGAAAGACGTGGCCGACAAATTCTTCTGGGATCTCACGATTACGATGATAGTAGTTGGATCTGAAATAAAAAGGAAATGAGAGTCACTGAAAGCGGTGACTAAGAAAACAAAGGATAAAGCCGTTGGTGTCGACCAATTCACATTAGGATGCGCCACGCGCTAGTCAGAACATAGTTATTGAAAGCGGTCTTCAAAAGGATAAATCACAAAGTCGCTGGGGTCAAGCAAGGATGTGCCACTTACCCCACTTCCACTGGGAATGAAACCAAGCTTCTGTCAAGATTTTGGGCTCAGTTCGACGCGGTGGGACATCCACTGGCACTTGAAAGGGCAGGTTACCTGGTAAAGGCCTGCACAAATGCCTGAGACCAATGTGGCTCACTTGCCCATTTCGCAACTGCACAAGTTTTTAGACAGCGTTCAGACTCCGCGATGGTAAGAGTCAACGCGCTATAACTACAACAGTGCCCAATTCGGCCCAGCCGCAGACCAGCGGGAACTGAAACGGCGCCGGCCGGTGGTTTATTGAGAGAGGGATGGGGAACAGTAGGTACGCGTTGTCTAGTCATGCGGTCTGGTATCGATCGGCCCCGACCGCTAGGGCTTCGAAAGAGTATCAAAAAATGGGAGAGCACCAAATTGTGGGAAGAGAGCGAAAGCGCTCCCACTGTTCTATACCTTCACAAAACCAAAGTGGCGCCGATCGATTCCCGCCTGCGGCTGCGTTCGCTTCTATAAGATGCAGCAATGATGCAAGTGTAGCGCGCTGACGCGCGACTTCGCGAAGTCTGAACGCTGCCTCAGAGGTCTCACCAAAGTGAGACTTGTGAGTTGACCGAGCTGAAAAGCATCAAGCGAAAGAGCGAAATGCCCTCCCAAGCAGAAAAGCGCCAGTTGTTGTAGTGGTATTTGAATGCAACGGTACAAGCAGTGGCTACTAGTGAGAGAAAGCTAATGAGCAGTCGTGATTTTGACCCTTCAGGCAAAGGATAGTATGTTGAGCGAATATGGACAATGCTTACAGGCATTATTCCCGATTCGATTCGGGATATAAGCAGCGCCGCTCGTTACTACACTACCGTCGCACTGTTGAAAGTAGGCGGCCTTGAGCAGTCGTCTATCTCCAGTAGAATACGCCACGTTCAGTAATGAAGCATATAGTGGTTTTCGATGGTGGAGCATGTCAGGGGGGGAGTGCTGCAGACGCTAGGGCGTGTATAGGTTCGGCACTGCACCAGCCCGTTCTCCACCACGGCTGAAGCGGGCAAGGGACAAGCAAGCGGCAGCGACTGGTGGAAAACGGGATGACACCGCGCCAAACCCAGCTCCCTGACAGCGAGAACTACTATAACTGCAGGTTTGGCTCAGCCAGTAGATGTCAAAGTTGTGTCCCTGCGCACCTTTGGAAGATCTGGCACCAATAAAGCGACCCCGGAACGAAGAGCAACACGTCGGCCTTGACAAAAATGTCAGGTGGTCGGTTGGTGGAACGACGCCGTTCTTCCGGTAATGACGTTTCTCGCCGCTGTCTTATCTTCTACATGCACTGATGGCGTATATCAGCTGATTCTCAAATCGACATTTCGTCCCTAAAATATTACCAGTAAGACCTGAATGGTGGACACCTTATTTGGCCTGTTCACCTATACACTCTCTAGAGAACTGTTCCGCAGAAGTTGTTGAACGACTGGTAATCGTAGGCATCTACACCCGCCCACCCCTCCGCCCTCTCTCCTCCTTCTTCCACTGAACTCCCCCAGGCGTTTTCCTGAGTCTCAGGGCAACTTGTGTGGACTTTATTGCAAGAACTCTTCACAAGGCGCTGTGTGTGGTCATTGTACTAAAAGAACAAGGATAAGGGGGGGGGGGGCAAAGTGGCTTACCCTCAGACACAAGACCAAGGAATGATCTAAACAGCTTAAAGATGAGTCTCCATTTCCATCTGCCTCTTTTGAGAAGATGTAAAGACTTTAAACCGTATGTAGTGGCTAGGGGCAAATGGTGCCAGATAAGCAGGGTCGCAGTGTGCAGGATTGCGGATCATATCCCCGACCATCTTCTGCCCAGGCCAACCAAGTCCTCCGTCGCTGACTCCCATATTGGATGCCCCTGCCGGTCATTATATAGGCTAAATGGCACGCATTACGCCACCAAATAGAACAGAAGTGGAGTGCGTGGCACATCCCAAACAAGGTTTGATAGGCACCGGAAGCACATACATCATTGGGAAAACGCGAAAACAAGGGCCTTGCTTGCTGATACTATATCAGACTCGCGCGATATCACCTATTTACCAGTAACACGTCACTCTGGCCTTCACAGCCCCTACTTTTTCTTATCGCAGTTCATGACAAGCAAATTTTCCACGTAATCGCTACCGGCCAAAGGGGCTATTTCGAGCCTGACCGCGTTTTCGGGCTCAGGGCTCTTGCTAAATGCTATCAAGTCATGACACTCCTGAAACAGTGCCTCTTACCACTGTGCAGACTCTGGGGGTGCCAGAAAGGCTAAATTTGTAGCGGCACCAGCCGTTTTTCACCAGCTGCAGTCGCTTGCCTGCTTCAGTAATTGGTCGAGAAAAGGCTCGAGCCGCGCTCAACATGGCCCCTCCCCTGACATGCCACCGC